AAAAGACTTAGTTCTCTTCAAAAACACCTTGCAAAGGGACTTCACAATTAACAGGTATATTTCATATTTTAAACTGCGGTTTCTGTATATTATTTTTTAACTTTTTATAACTAGTTTCAGCATTGAAAATGTCTCCTCCCATTTTAGGTTGGTTATGACGTATGTCATTGAAAAGGAAGTTGAAGTAACAAGTACTGCTATTACATTTCACCTTCATGATTAGTTTTATATGTAAGACGGCTTATAAATTATTTTCTATTTTCGGCAACAGCTTATTCTATGATCCTTTTGCTGGTAAATCTATGACTATTGCCAACGGATTGGCTGACTTAAAGGCTATGAAGGTAACTCTATTTGATTCACTAATGAATATTTATTACGATCAAACATTGATTGGAATTACACTAGAATATAATAATGCTTTTCATATGGTCTCAGCTGCAAACTATGATTCCTGCTCAATATCTTTCAATGAAGATCCTGGTAGGTAGCATCATTAGCATCTTATAAAACTACGACCCTGATCATCACACCCTATAAATATGAACTTACTTATGGAATTCTGTGCAGGAAGAATTTTGCGCGCCTTGAGATTGCAGCTCGTCTAGGTTTATCATTATCAAGTGACATTACAGCTGAATTCAGACATTTTCTTTTGGTTAAGGGCTTAACAAGGTACTTTAATTGGAATACAGTCATGATGTTATGCTGCCTAAGTTTGGCTTAAAATATCTATTGCGTCTTATAGCCTTTCTGGTATGTTTCTGTGCTATTTCATTCTGTGAGACTATTCAGAAACATTTTTATTATCGTTTTTATTGCAATTGCAACACTTGGAAAGGCTAAAATTGTGTACTGCAGAAAAGAGGAAATAGAGAAGAAGCTCATTAATGTCAGTCTTTGGATGTTGTAGTAGTTATTGTTCTCACGTCTTACTTTTTCTGTTTTTATATATATAGTCAGTCCAAAATAATGATGGAATTGAATTATATGGCTTTCTTATGGAGCTGCCGAACCATCCCTGTTTTTGCTCTGGAAATTCAAACTTCTTGACTTTTTACTTCCTTTGCATGTAAGTGGTTGTTTTACTGACTTGTGTCGTGTAGTATATTTCTGATCCAGGCTACGGGTCATAAAATTCTTACGTGATTGTTTACAGGCAGCATACTTAGACCAACAGGCTATAACAAACAGACTGCTCAAGCTTCCAGTATGCTTGTGGTAAATTAAGTTTACAAAATACTGTTAAACAAGATGCTGTATTCTAATTGGAATATTCAATCAGCTGTCTTTTAAAAATGAGATTTTGTGGATTTGTGAACTCATTTGAGTAATCTTAGAATCATTCACAGGGATGAGTAACCAAGATTCATTTAGAAATGTTAATATTACGGGAATAGTTAAGAAGAAATATTTTTTTCCTTTCCCCCTTGCAGCATGGTGTTGATGGATTTGATTTTAAGAACTAGAGGTAATTTTGATGAAGATTAAATAAATGTAGGATCAGTACATTAACATGACATTGATTTTATGAAACTTGAAGCAGTTCTTTATATTCCCAATCAAAATCACGCCATATGCTTGATGCTTTAACCTCTAAGTTTAGTTACTTTTAGATTTCTTCAAAAGCCTTTTTTGGTCTTATGCTTTCATAATTGATAAGTCAATTTTGCAGAAATTATTCTTCCATTTGGATAAATTGGTTGCTTGTGATCGACCTTCTGTTTGCACTATATGGTGAGTAGTTTCCTTTTTCCTTGCTTAATATTCTGCAGGTTTTGTTCCTTCTGATTGTATGTGGTTGAAGAACAAAAGTTTTAACGCGGGGATGTCAGACAAATGTGCCATTGGAATGACGCATAGTATTTGAGGAAGGAGAAGAGAGAAATTTTTTGTATCAAAGACTAAGGGATGTTTCTTTAAAAGCCATTCAAAATTTTTTCAGATCTGACAAATTACTTTTGACCTTGGGAACTGCTTTATTTTCAGGGTTGCCCTATTCTTAGATGACTTACTTTTACTGTACGTAGTCAGCATAATTGGAACGTCATTTACTCATGGCCTGAAGAAAAGGGAAAAAAGGAAACGTTGTTTACATTAGATCACAACTCTATTCTCTCTATGCCCCCTAAAACCCTTAAACCTCACAGAGAGTGTAGAGAGGAAGCATCTATTTATTCGAAGTACACTTTTCTGTTGTAGCTGTAATAGACTTGGCTTGGATTAATGTTGATTTGTTTTGAAATTAAAGTCATGGGTTCCCTCTGAGATGCTGTTGTTACATGGTACAGGGTTGATTACTGGCGTTTCACCTGGCGTTAGTGAATAACCCTCAAGATGCCCTTGTGGTGTGGGCACTTGCTTCTGTTCTATATCATGGGGATTGGGAAAAAGGGTGTTGAATTTGCAAAAGAACAAGCAAGAAGGGATATTGCTTCTCACCTGAAATAAAAAAGTCCTGTGTATACGATCTGATGGCGAAATTGTTAGAGCGGTTGCTCAATTGGCATCTTTGGTGGTGGATTCGATAGCCGTGCTCGTTAATGAGAATATTCTTGTTCAATCTATCTCTAGATATCCATCTACCTCACGCTCTGGTTTGGTTAAGTATGTTAACGTTTGTGTCTTTGCTCAAACTCTGATCATATGTTGATTGACTGTTAAATACATGCAACATGATCAAGTTCTATTTTACTTGTCTGGATTATTTAAAAATTCAATAATTGGGCTTTTTGTGATTCTTCATTGTCGCAATGTCCAGAACTCCTGACCTTGTTCGCAGTTTTGAGTTTTGAGAAGTTGCTCTGATGCCCTTTAAAGAAACAATAATATGAAAATTGTATATGTTTAGAAGGTCGCAACCTTCAGAAGTCGGAGGCAACTATTTTGCATGTAGACTACAGTAGTTTATTCTCGTAGTTTAAGGTATTCCTGCTCTCTGTAAATCATTGCATCTACATCTATGTCTACTTGGATGCGTGTTACTTTCTGGTAACTTTTGCCTGTGCGGCTCTTTCATTTATGCCCATGTCCGTCTAGGTTGCTAATAGTTCAGATGTTCAATTGGACTGAATATTTTGTTTTTCCTTAGGTATTTATATCAACAAAAACGGGAAAGGATGTGGCACGACTCTTCAGAGTGCTGATCCATAATGTTGATTCTTACAGGAGTGAAAAAAGGGATTTTGAAATAAACTATGATTTACTTGGAGAGGTCACCCTTCAGAGATAGGTTTGTTTTTGGCAAAGTTGTTCTTGAAACTATGAGTGGCGGACTTGTTGGAAACGAGGTTTTGGAGGCTATGAGATGTGAAGTCAAGACTGAGGAGCACTCCCATGAAACACGCCATTTGCATCTTCCACATCCACTAAACTCTCAACTGGTGACCAAAAGAGATAAAGACGAGCTTCATCATCATCATCTAGTCCAAGACCTGAGAAAAAGAAAATCAAGAAACATAAATTGGTTCAGAGTGAAAGTATTCCGGATCAGGGACGAGCTTAGAAAAAGCATGAACTGTTTGACATCCACGAAGATGAAGAAATGCCGTAAGGCTTCCCAAGTTGTCTACGTTATTTAAGTGATGCACAAATTCGTTCCAAGAGAGAAAAATTGGCATCAACATCAGATGAACTGATAAGAGCATATCGATATTGCCTGCAAGAAGGGTCTTGACCGTGCTAGTCATTTGAAGGCAAGTTGAAAGAAGGCTGTTTGTAGTCACAGAGTACTATCCATGAATGGTAGCACAAATGACAAATGCAATAAGTGAATATATGTGACAGCTTAAGTAAAGAGGATGAGTTTTTCAGGGAGAAAGAATGACCACGCTTGCTTGAGGCCAGTTGAGCAAGCAAAATTAGCCGTAGCTTGTCTCAATAGCCCAAGCTAAATCTCTAACGTCATGCCTTCGGTTTCCTCCTAGTGGATGACATTGCCAGTCCTCTGCTTTTATTTACAAGACAAGAGAGAGAAGAATTTTCATTCCTATTTATAAGGCAAAAAGTAAATTTTTCATATAATGTATAATTTTATCATTAATTTATTATTATGTCGATTTTGTTTTGATAGAGTAAAGTATATATTAAATAAAGGATAAAGTTAAAAGTTATCAATTTTAATATAGAGTTAATGAAGTTTAAAATTTTTATTGATTTATAAAAATATGTTGAAATATTATAAATCATTATAAGAAAGGTAGTTACAATTCTCATTATAAGGAGTTAATGTGTATCTCAATTTAGTAGATTGTTATTATATTTGGCGCGTCTCTTTAACACCGTGCCGCGAGTAATGGGAGGAGGTGGAATGTGTTTCTAAGAGCATAGTCGTCTACCACTTTGGTTCTTTTATTTGTTATGTTGTATTTTTTTAATGTTTTATTTTCAATTCTGTCCTTATTAATTAAGGGAGACAAATATAAAGGTGGAGGAGGTAGTTGATGAGAAAAAATATACTAATTACTCCGATTTAATACCAACTAACTTTTTTACAAGGGTTGGTTTTTTTTATAAGATATATTTATTTTTGTCCCAATATTTAATAAATTTTTTCTAATTTTACCTTTATATATTCTCTTTTCTCTTTAATTTATTTATTACATCTTTTACTTATTCTCTTCATTAATAAGGGTACATTAGGAAAAACAAATATATGCCTTACATATTTATTGTTTTAATTTATTTTAATATTTTTTTTTATAAACATAATAGATAAAATTTAACTTATATTTTAAATAGGAAAGAATATTTAATAAGAATAAAAATAAATTTTTTTTATATATTTAATGACTTTTTAAATATATGAGAAATGTTACAACTCACAGTTAAAAGGTAACAGTGTCACTTCAATTGCAGCAAAAGTTTCATTCAATTTAATAAAATGTCATTAAGTCTGACAAAGTATTCAATGCCATTAAGTTATTTGTCGGGAAAGACACGGTTTCAGAGAAATGTGAGTCCGGACTATTTATGAAGGAGCTTCTATTCTGGGGAGCAATTTCTAAACTGCAATGATTCGATAATAAATACTCGCACATTATTTTACCAAAAAAAAAAAAAATACTCTCCATTTATGCTAAACAATTAAAGAAACTCTCAAGTTTCTTTAATTTATGAATTTATATTTCGATAGAGTTTTAGATTTGCACTATCATTACCACACACTTTTTTGTTTGAAAAAGGAAAAAAAAATTCTCTAATTGTTTTGAACTACATAATTCTTTGTTTTTAAAAATACGCTTTTATTGAAAGGAAATTTCTGTTAGGATGTCTTTTGATAAAAGGAAACATCCATAAAGGAAAATAGCATCGTAACTATGATCAAGATACCACATAATAAATTTTCTCATTTTTTTGGTTTCTTGCCTTTCCTCTGCATTTTTGTATATTCTTATTCATTGGTTCAATTTCAGATTTCTTAAGTGAATTAGTTCCATAAAAAAGCTTACCAGGAAAAAAAAACTTCCTTGGTGTGTGTGAACTAGAGATATTTATTTTCTTGGATGATAGCAATGGTAAACGACTCTTTGAACCAAGAAAAGGAGAAAAGAAAAAAAAAAAACACAACCCAATTCTCGCACATGTTAATTTTAAAGAGAACTTCTGTGAATCCTCAACCAAAACGAAAAAAAAATTGGATGCTTTTTTATTTTGGCTAGGAAAAAGACTAATCTTTTATTGAACTGAGTTTTTTTAGAGAGAGAGAGAGAACTTGGGTTGAAAAATATTGATAATAATGAGGGGTATTGATTATCAAAAAGAATAATGAAGGGTATTGTAATAAAAAAAATTAAACTTGGACTATTCAAATTTCAGAAATAAATCATTAGTATAAATTTAAGAAGAAAATTTAAAAAAAAATAATACTAATATAATTAATTACTTCTTAATAACCTAGATACATATCCTAATCTCTGACGAGTCAACTTAACATATTTTAATTGGGTTTTGGATATGGTGCCCATAATTAGCTTGCTAAATTAGATTATTATAATAAGCATTGCATCCCGGGATTTATTAAATGTTAATTGTGTTGTAAAGGAACCAACCAGAGAGATTAATTTTTTAAAAAAAAAAGCATAAAAAAAGGAATAAAGCCCAAACAACAGTAGTGCGGAAGAGCGCAAAGGCCAATGATTGGACCTAAAGTCTTTAACATAAAAACAAAACAATGAAACCTCATTTTGAAATCCGACGTGCAGCCTGTCTCTGCACATTACCGTTAAGACAATCGTAGAAAGAAAGAAACAGCGTGTCTTTCCCTGTCTCTCTCACCCATCCAACGGTCACTAAATCACTAGCCGTTGAGATTTTTTTGAAAAAAAAAAAAAAAAAACGACGCGTCCCCCAGACAAATATTTACCCATAATACTCTCTACATTGGTCTTGCATTGTCTCAATCCCCAGTGAGGTGTCGGAGAGTTCAGTTCTATCTTCTAGGGTTGCCCCGGGTTCTGAGATTATCAAACAACAACAAAAAGATGGGTGATTTCTCGTGAGAACAATGTGAACTCCATCAAACCCACAAGCCTGCAAGGTAAAGTTTTCTTCTGGGTTTTAATCAATAATGTAGCCGGAAAGCTTGAAGATTATGGTGACGTGTTTGAGATTATTCTTACAGGAGGAGTGGTCGGAGAGAATAGAAGGGCACTGAGCGTCATCAATCAGAACCTGGTCGTGGAGTGTGGACACAACAAGAAGATTGCCAATCCAGTGCATCGACCAATTACCAGGTGACCATGCTGCTCTCTCTCTCTCTCTCTCTCAGAGTCTCTCTTTTACTCATACCCTCAGATTTGTCAAATACTGAAACCTAAATGAGTACTATAGCATCTGGTAGATAGATTGGAGGAGCGAGAGAGAAACTGAGACAGAAGTGTAAGAAAATGAGGATCCAAGAAACTCATCATACTGAAAGAGGAGAGGCATGAGGGGGCACATTATTGATTGAATGAGAGGTTGAAAACATGTACTGTAGCTTATCATGGTGTTGCATTTCGAAGTGACGAGGAAGGGGGGAAAAACAACTGTGTTCTCTCATCAATGGAGTCTGGAGGAGGAGGAAGAAAAAGAGGGAAGGAAAAAAAGAACTTTGGTGGGGCCCAGTCACGAGCATATATTCAGGGAGGACGGGAAAGTTTTCTTTAGTCACATGTACTAGAAGGATACAAGGGTCATTTGAGGTCAATGACTCGACAAAAACGTTCAAATTTTTCGAAATTTGAAGGTTACGTTGCACCTATGAGTCAATCAGGGAAATGTAAACCTGTATGTTCATGTATGGGGATTTTTTTCCCTTCTCAAAATCTTCTTATAAAGTATCTGAGTGTTTAGTTTCAAATAAAGAAGTATGGTTTTAACTTAATGATGTTACATGCCGCCGTATGTACGGTGCTTCTAAGATGAAAGGATTTGAATTTAAGAACAAACATTAATCATCAATTATTCTTAGTAACGATTACGGAAACATTTCAGGAAATATGCAGCACAAATTGCTCCCACAAAGCGGCCACTCGCCGAGGTACCCTCTCTCTCCTCCTCCGAGAAATTAACGGCTTATGAGCCTGGTTTGTCGCTATAGAATTCGCAATGATAACGATAGTTATTTCCGAGTACTGCTGAGTGTTGAATTTGAACAGGAAGATAAGAAGTCGAATAATGCATCAAGTTTAAATTCAAATGGATTTGGAGAATGCATATTTTTGGATGAAGAACACAAGTCAGTGAAGGACCAGCCGGTACCCATGTCTTTAGAACAATCAGAAGAAGAAATGCAGACTGAAACAGATCAGATGGTACATATATATGTCTTTCTCACTTTGTTTTCCTTCAAGTTTGGTGCAGTACTTATCAATTAACTATTGTTCTCGAACATGCTAGAAGGAAGTTGAGATGGAGGATATAGTTGAAGATCCTATCATGGACATTGATTGCAGTGACGTGAGCAATCATCTTGCAGCTGTAGACTATGTTCAAGAACTTTATTCTTACTACAGAAAAATGGAGGTATTTAAAGCAATACTTTTCAAGGATGTATGAGAAATTCTTAATATTCTTATTAAGTACTTAAAGGCAATCATAAAGAGACCCCCTAAATGCCGTTGGATCTGGTTATATATATTATTTCAAAGTATTTCTATCGGATCTGCATGGCTTTAATTATCCTTTTCCTACCTCGGGTCTGCAAGTCGCAAGCATTAAATACAAATTATGAATGAGACTTTGCATGAAAATATCAGCGGGCCCTTGTAAATAGAGTTTGCGAAATAACTCACTTGAGTACTTATATGAGACTTGCTGTAAATTTTATTGATTACTGATATATGATGATGATCTATGTCAAAATATAGTTTTTGTTTCTGACAACTAACACAATGAAGCTACATGCAGATTAGTAGCTGCGTCTCACCACATTATATGTCACAACAAGTTGACATTAATGAAAGGATGAGGGCTATACTGATTGACTGGCTCATTGAGGTATATAAATTAGATATTCCTCATTTACTAATAATAGTAGTTGTTTGGTTTTTGGTTGGAATGTATTTGACATTAAATTAAATACTCATGTATGCTTGTTTGGTATTGAACCTTCAGGTGCAAGACAAGTTTGATCTTATGCGTGAGACTTTGTTTCTTACAGTGAACCTAATAGATAGGTTTTTGGAGAAGCAATCAGTGGTAAGGAAGAGGCTTCAATTGGTGGGTTTAGTGGCCATGCTTTTGGCATGCAAGTATGAGGAAGTTTCGGTTCCTGTGGTGGAGGATCTGATACTTATATCAGACAAAGCATATACAAGGAAAGAAATTCTTGAAATGGTAATATTTCTTTTGGCAAAGAAATTATGATTGACTACTTTTCTTTTGTTGAACCATAAGAAGCTAATAAGGTTGTCCTTTCCCTAACAATGCAGGAGAAGTTGATGCTTAGCACATTGCAGTTTAACATGACTGTGCCCACACCATATGTGTTTATGAGACGGTTTCTAAAGGCTGCTCAAGCAGATAAAAAAGTTAGTACACCATTTTTTTTTTCCTAATAAAATTTAACCAACACTTTGTCGATGTGAGGTTTTTTAAAATTATACTTGTTGAAGCCAAAAAAAGTCTGGCCTATTATTTTATGGGACTTTTAAAAAAGGCATATGAGTCACTTTGAGGGAGAGATTATTGGGATGTCAGATCTTTGGTTATAGCAGGGGGTCAACATTATTTGTCTCATATTTAAATAGGAGATTATTAGGACGTCAAACTTCTGGTTTTAAGAGGGTTGACGTTGGACTTATACTCGAAGGAGAGATTGTACTGTTGAGATGTCTCGCCTCTAGTTACACCAGGGATTGACAATTAGACTCACACTTAATGAAGAGATTGTTAGAAAGTTAGACTTCTAATTATAATAGGGGTTTGACGTTAGACTCATGCTTGAGGAGGAAATTGTGCATTGAAATGTAGGCATCTAGTTATAACATAGGGTCAGAGGTACAATTCACACTTGAGGGGTAGATTATTGAGATGTTAGGCATCTAATTATAGAAGGTCAATGTTGGACTCACATGAGTGGGAAATTACTGGGATATTAGACTTTGGTAGTGTTTGACATCGATTTTTCAACTGTAAAATGCCAATTTTGATCTAAAATGGTGTTTAGCATAACTTTGGAGACAACTGATTTTTTGTTCAAAAGTTACTTTAAAGTTGAGGCAACTTCTTCTGATTTTTTTTCAGATTTAAACCATCTAAAACTGACTTTTTAGTATATCATCCAAATAAGTTTATGTCAAAACAACTTTTTTATAAAAAATTATCTAAACATAAATCACATTATTCTAATTAACTTTTATACTAACTCGTAAATAAAGTGCACTAAATTTTTGGTTGCATTTTTCATGTGGAGCAGATGGAGTTGCTAGCTTTCTTCTTAATAGAGATATCTCTTGTGGAGTATGGGATGTTGAAGTTCCCACCATCTTTGCTAGCTGCAGCTGCAATTTTTACAGCTCAATGCACCATCTATGGTTTCCAGCAATGGAACAAGACATGCGAATGGCACACAAACTACTCAGAAGATCAGCTATTGTGAGTAAAAAGTTGTGCTAACTTAACTACTTAAGCTTTTGGGTTAAATTAACCTTTACTATATCTAATTCTAATTCTACCCTAAAATATGAAACATAACTTGCAGGGAATGCTCTAAATTGATGGTTGATTTGCACCAAAGGGCTGAAAAGGGAAAACTAACTGCTGTACATAGGAAGTATTGTACATCTAAACTCAACTATACTTCAAAATGTGAACCAGCAAGTTTTCTTGTGGCGAACCAATTATAGCAAGGCCATGTATAGAGGAACTAACAAAAAACACATGACTCGTATAATTGGTATAAGCAAATGGATTGTCTCAATTTCTTCAAAATTGACAATGTCTGTTTCTTTCTGACATGTCAATTTCAAAGAGGAATTAAGAAGATCCAAATGAGACTGGGTTAAAAATGCAGGCATAACAGCAACTTGGGTTGCCTTGGTGGTCCTCTGTATTTTCTTTTCATTTCTTATCTAATTCAACATACCTTCTCATTTGAAGACTGTGTTTCCCTTGTTCTCGTTGAATAAAATAATGAAAATGATAGAACAATCTCATTTGTTCAACTAGTTTTACATGCTTTAGATTGATTCTCTTGAATTTTGTAATCTTACCACTTTTTGTAGCCGGATTTTGATCACTTTATATTTGATTGTATTTAAATTTTTCCAACCACTCTAATTTGATTGACAATAATAGAACATATAAAGATACGACAATCATTCAGTGAGAGTCACTGATTTTGGCATTTGAATGGATCCATAATCATTCTTGGCTATATTAATTGCTTAATTAAAGATGGTGCCAATCCTTTCAATTCCATATTAATTTCCACTTGTAAAAATTTTAGATAAAGCACATCTTGTCAGATTGCAAGTATTCAATGCATCAACAATTCTGAGATTCCATGCAATAATAAAATAAGCACGGCTTATTATTATTATTATTATTATTATTATTATTATTATTATTATTATTATTATAGGTGACAATACAAACTTATTACATGCTCACTTTAAGATTAGATCTCAATAAGAATAAGCAGCTTGTTTGACTTCCCCACAAGGTTATGACTGTTTTTTTTAAAAAAAAAGAAAAGAAAAGAAAAGAAAAAGTAAGTGTGCTTATGACAGTAAAACAAATTGAGTGATTGATAATCTGTCTTTATTGGAAGCCCTCTTCCCGTGTGCTCCAAGTAACAAGAGTAATCATATCAACTTAAACTAATACCCACCTACCCCTATCTTAAATAATAATAATAATAATAATAATAATAATAAAATTAAAGAAACAATGAACTAAGCAGTGTTTTGGGAGCGAGCTATGGAAGTGACAAAAACGATTAAAAAAGGTCATATAGTTAATGACTTAATTCTCTCTGATTCTTTTTTCAAGGCAATACAATGAGAAGTGGGATTTGGCTTCTTCAACGAATAGAAAGCAATTTCAGAACGGCGGGTCTTTTTTGCTTGACCCATGTGCTGCGCCCACCGTTGTTTTTTTTGTTTTTTTTAATTATTATTAAAAAAAATTTAGGTGAGTTGGCTTCTAGGAACTCATTAGACTAGAATATGTTTTCAGACTCAGAGAACACTTACAGAGGTATTTACAGATCGTTCACCAGCAATGTTCTCATATTGGTAGTGAGATTTAAACTCACAATCTTATAAATTATGAGTCGGCTATTTATCAATTAGATCAATTCTTGTTAGTTGGATAGACCATTGTTAAACAAAGAACCTGAAAGATTGAAGTTAATTTGGGCCATGTTTGGTTTGCCAATGATCGTTTTTTTTTTTTGGCCCGACCAATGATCGTCACTTAACAATATAGTATTTGAAAATGTAAAATTTAAAATCAAAATTACAATAGCGGATATTATCCTGGATCATTTTTATAAAAGGAAAAGGAGGGGGTAAAGATTAGATTTTGTGGTTGAATGAATTTTTTTAAGACCTTATGTGATTTGACTAGCATTTGGTTGAATTTTTTAAAAATATTTACTTTTCAAAATTATTGATATTTATATAAACTTAACATCAATGTCTAAATAAAAGCATGAGTTACACAGAAACGTTTAAATTATATATTTGGATTTTAACATTTGGTCCAAAATTTTGGCCCAAAAAAAACATTTGATCCAAAATAAATGAATATGGTCAATTCCTAATATGTAAACAAAATAATATAATAAATATGTTCCTCTCTTCCTTTCTTTCTTTCTTTTTTTTTAGTTACCTACTTGCCTTTGCCCCGCAAACGTTCTTCCACCAACCCCATGATTTGCCAGTTTCTATGGTCCTATTGATGGTGACATTGCATGGTCAGAAGGCTAATGTGAAATTTAAAAATAAATAATACTCCCTCTGTTTTTTATTATAAAAAATAAATAATCAAATTACGTTGATAAAAAAATAGTTAAATTTTTTTAAGAATAATCAATATATGAAAAGTATATTTTTTTTAAAATACCTTCATTAATAAAGAAAGAGCATAAGAGAGAATAATTAAATTATTAAAAGAGGAAGTGGGAGTGTAAATTAGAAACAATAAATATAAGTAAAATAAAAAATCAACAAAAAAAATAGAGATAATTTTTAAATGTCTTATATTATAAGCATCAAATGTCACTTATAATAAGAAACAGAATACTTGTTAAAATGACCTCAATACCTTAATAAAATTTCCATTTATTGCCACCTACCAACAAATGCCTCTTCCAGTCATACCATTAGGTCACGCCTGAGACACACAGATTCACGGACTCACGCCCACATATATAAATATGCCCCTCCTCTGATTCAGATCTTCGCCCCGGCGTCTCTCATTTGTTAAAAAAGTTCTCTGAAATCTCTCTCTCGATTTGCCTCTCCGCTCATTCTCAGTTCAAGTCACCATGTCGATGGCTGCTCTCTCTCGCACTCATCTTCTTCAGAATCCTAATCATCACATTAGCACCTTCGCCACCCACAACAATCATTCCCTCGTCACCTCTATACGCCCCGCCACCGCCGCCTCCGTCAGACCCATCTCTATCAAATGCGCTGCCGTGCCGACCACCACCCAAACCAACGACTGTCCGCCAGCTCATACCTCATCCCAAGATCGTGTCTTTAACTTCGCCGCCGGACCCGCCACCTTGCCGGAGACCGTGCTCAAGAAGGCGGAGTCGGAGCTCTACATTTGGCGCGATTCCGGCATGAGCGTGATGGAAATGAGCCATAGGGGCAAGGATTTCCTCTCCATAATCCAGAAGGCAGAATCAGATCTGCGCGCCCTTTTGGATATTCCGCCGGAATATCATGTTCTGTTCTTGCAGGGCGGCGCCACCACACAATTTGCTGCCGTACCGTTGAACCTCTGCAAGCCAGATGATCAGGTTGATTACGTGGTAACTGGATCGTGGGGAGACAAGGCGTTCAAGGAGGCTCAGAAATTCTGTAAACCCAATGTAATCTGGTCTGGTAAGTCCGAGAAGTACACCAAAATTCCAAGTTTCAGCGAATTAGATCAACTTCAGAACCCGCACGCAAGGTATCTGCATATATGTGCAAACGAGACAATTCATGGTGTTGAGTTCAAGGATTATCCAACCCCAAAGAATCCAAATGGTATTTTGGTCGCTGATATGTCTTCAAATTTCTGTTCAAAACCTGTGGATGTTTCTCGATTTGGTGTGATTTATGCCGGGGCTCAGAAAAACGTAGGGCCATCCGGGGTGACGATTGTGATCGTCAGGAAAGATTTGATCGGAAATGCTCAGGATATCACTCCGGTGATGCTTGATTACAAGACACAAGCTGAGAATAACTCGCTGTACAACACTCCACCCTGTTATGGAATTTACATGTGTGGTTTGGTATTTGAGGATCTGTTGGAGCAAGGCGGTTTGAAAGAGGTTGAGAAGAAGAACAAGAAGAAGGCTGAGATTCTGTACAATGCCATTGACGAAAGCAATGGGTTTTACAGATGCCCAGTGGAGAAGTCCGTGAGGTCATTGATGAATGTCCCGTTTACGTTGGAGAAATCAGAGTTAGAAGGCGAGTTCATCAAGGAAGCAGCCAAAGAGAAGATGGTTCAGCTCAAGGGACATAGGTCGGTGGGTGGGATGCGAGCTTCTATATACAATGCAATGCCTTTGGCCGGGGTTGAGACGCTGGTGGCTTTCATGAAGGATTTCCAAAGCAGGCATGCCTGAAGCTGAAGCCACATTCCGTGATGATATCTTTTAAGAATTTGAACATATCTTTGTGAATTTTTGGCTTAATACGTAGCAGGTTTTTTACTTTAAGTTAATGCGATGCTTTATTGCTGAGATGGGGGTCAATTAAGTGAGTGTGGGGTATGAATAATGATGAGTTTGATCGCTTCGGAGTTGAAATGTAAGGCAAAAAATGGGTTGGCAGTGTATCACTTTCTGAGATGATTTCAATTCAGGCAGGGAGGAAAAATTTGTTAGTTTGTTTGTTTGCTCTGTAAGCCTGTATGGGTTAAGTTCCGTCAGGTTGGATTTGGACATGCTAATTTCGGATCTGCCTTTAACTGGCCGTAACATTTAATATAGGATGTTCTCTACTAAATACTACTCCCTCCTATCGTTATTATAAAAGACATTTAGTGTTTACGACATGTTCCTATATATAAGAGACATTTAAAAGTTGTCTCTACTTTTTTGTGTTGATTTTCTATTTTACCCATATTTATTGTCTCCAACTCACACTCTCTCTCCTTCTCACTTCTCTTTCTTTTAATAAATTATCATTGTTCTCTCTCATGTTCTCTCTTCTTATTAATGAGGGTATTTTTAGAAAAAAATTATACTTTTTACATATTAATTGTTCTTAACTAATTTTAATTATTTTTTTTATCAACGTAATTCGGTTATTCGTCTCTTATAATAAAGAACGGAGGGAGTATAATATAAACTAAATAAATAATTTAGTTTATATTATTCAAATAATTTAGATATTACATATATGATTTAATTTAATATGTTTAAATCATAATAATATTTTTATTGAATCAGCATGTAATTCAATTATTTGATATCATAATCTGGTATGCTTTTCTCACTCATTTATTTATTTTCTAACAGGACAAAATAATTTCACTAGTAAATTTTACGCTGGTATTTTTCATTTCTATCTAATTATCTCTGAACCCACATTCCATCAATATATTCTCAAATAAAATAAAAGCCATCATTTTTTATTTATCTCTTTTTTGGTTTCATCTGTATACATTTAGGCGTAATTCAACTAGGGTGGTGCTAGTGCATTTGTGAAAAAAAAAAAAATTGAAAACACTGGGGTGGTGCAGGGACTTGCTAGGCCCAATAAAAGTGGCTGAATCCAGCTCAAGAGGGGACTAGTTGGCCGTTCGAACCTACCAGGCTACCACGAAGAGATGTAACCCCAAAAAACAAAAAAAGAAAGTCACATGATTGAGGAGACACTTATTATACATTGCGTAAGAATTAAATTAAAAATTTCATAACTGTAATTTTCAACTCTGGCCACTAACTTAAAAATGGTGACAAGCAGTGATTTAAATTAAAACCTAAAATAAATTAACCTTTAAAATAACAAATTAAGCTGATTAATTTAAAATTTATGCTCGCCACATGGGCGTAGTGGGCCCATGAATTTTGCCTTTAAGTTGACCCAAAAAAAAAAAGAATTTTTGTTTTTTAAAAAAGTAAAACTGGCGCAATGAACATGGAAAATTGGAAATGCAGCTTCAACGCGGTAAAATATCCCTTTACCTTTCCAGGAATCTAAAATTTCGCTCGCGGCTCTCACCGGTATTTCTGTAAACTTTTTCTATGGCTTCTCGGTCTTCTTGCTCGCAAATCTGAATCTTCCAAACCCTAGCACGCGTCCCGATAACTGCTCCACCAATGGCGAGAAGATCAGCGTCACTTCTTAAACAGCTCCTCGCGGCATCACAATCGTCCGACACTCCCAACATCATCTCTTCATGCTCCCGATTTATTCCCTCCCGATCCGTCACTTACATGCCCCGACCTGGGGATGGGGCTCCACGCGCCGTGACCCTCATTCCCGGCGATGGAATTGGACCTCTCGTTACAGGCGCTGTTGAGCAAGTGATGGAGGCGATGCACGCGCCGGTTTACTTCGAGAAGTATGAAGTACACGGTGATATGCCGAGAGTACCGCCGGAGGTGATCGATTCGATAAAGAAGAACAAGGTTTGCTTGAAGGGTGGATTGGCTACACCCATGGGCGGTGGTGTTAGCTCGCTGAACGTGCAGCTTAGGAAAGAGCTTGATCTGTATGCTTCGCTCGTGAATTGCTTTAATCTTCCTGGTTTGGTGACGAGGCACGAGAATGTTGATATTGTCGTGATTAGGGAGAATACGGAGGGAGAGTATTCTGGCCTGGAACATGAGGTCGTTCCTGGAGTCGTTGAAAGCCTTAAGGTATGTGATAAACTAGGTTGTTATTCTATGCTGAACTTTTTGAATGGAGAGTAATTGATGATCAACTAACGTTTTGCTCTCTGGTAGCTCTGCTATCAATGGGATTCATTTTCTTTTGATGGATTCAATGGTGTCAAGATGTAGGGTACTGTTTGTTGAACTAATAGCTTTCCCGTTCTAATGTGTTCTGTTTAGACTAGCTGAAAATTATTGATTGAATTGCTTTTATTTACACTTGTAGGCAGGTACCGACTACTAATCCAACGCACTTTTTTTTTAATCATTAATTCCACAACCTTAAAATTAACCTTAAAATTATTACATACGAATATATGTTAGTAAGAGAAGAAGATAAGATGATATTTAAGAACTGATAGGGAGTTGCATCTAATTGTTCATGAACTTGGTGGATGGTTCTGTTTTAAACTGTGATTCATGGATAGTGGATAACTTAAAGAGATGCTAATAAGTAATCCATGAAGTTGATTCAACATGGATATTTATCTAAAATATTTCTAGTTCTTCAGACTGGTTGTTTTTATTTGTCAGGATTTTGGTGACCATGTTCATGATGATATCCTTTGATAAGGAGACCCTGTCTTAGTTGAACTGCTGACTGAAATGGATAAATATTTAAATTAGATTATAAATAAGTGCTGCTTCGCATGGCAGCTTTTATTTGTATTCTTATGGTTTTCGCCAATCTTCTCCAGAATATGTCTGGTAAAATTGGTTTAAAAAGATGTTTAATAAGTTTATCAACTGACCTTTGGTTGATAATGCGATAAATTTTTGTTTCCAAGTTCTTATCTGAGTGTTCAGTGTTCTATCTATATAGCAAATGCCATCCAGATATGTTCCGATCTATACTTTATAATGGTCTGCTCATATTTTGGTTAAGTAATTGACTGATTTTCGCCTATGATTGTGGATTTTGTGTATATCATGAAGTTGGTTGGGACCTCATACTAGTCTTCTGCTAGGTAATCACAAAGTTCTGCTCAGAGCGTATAGCTAAATATGCTTTTGAGTATGCTTATCTAAACAACAGAAAGAAAGTGACTGCTGTGCACAAAGCAAATATTATGAAGCTAGCAGATGGTCTATTCTTGGAATCTTGTCGAGAGGTTGCTACAAAGTATCCTGGAATCAAGTATAATGAAATTATTGTGGATAACTGCTGCATGCAGCTTGTTTCAAAGCCTGAGCAGTTTGATGTCATGGTATGTGAATCTACAGTTGGGTTGTTTGTTTACAAACTTGGATCTATGTAATTTTTGTCTTTTAGCTTGCTCTTTGATTGATTGACATCTGATATTCATTTTCATTTGGGACGTTGGAGCCATAGGTTTGGCGTTTCTTCTAAAGTACCTGTTAGTGGAAAAGTGGCCTGAGAAATGAGCGGTAGTGACTGGAATTCAAAAGAATATGAAAGACAAGTATTAGCGGAAGTGGAAATAGTATGACTATTAAGATTAATTATTTATCAACTCTTGGCCTTTGGGAAGGATAAATATGACTTATAATAATGAAGGAGCTTGGACCCTATGGATATGATATTAATATTATTGGGAAGCATGAAGTTTGCCCTGCTTTATCTATTGTCACGGATGAGAATCATTTGATATGTTTTTGATGATTCTATCTTGCAAGTTGCAATTCACTGACTTTCCTTCTGGCACTCATTTATCTCTGTTTTTGCTGCCAACTGAATACGTTCTGAAGTTCATGAATACTGCTTCAACTTGCTAGGTAACCCCAAATCTCTATGGGAATCTAGTTGCAAATACGGCAGCAGGTATTGCTGGAGGTACTGGAGTAATGCCAGGAGGTATGGTTTTTATTATTTACAAAATTTCATTCCTTAGCTTATTGGATGCTGTTCCCTCAGTTATACCATGTCTTCAAAATGTCCGATTAGTTCCCACCTTTTGATAGTATGAGAATCAAGTTTGAACTTTGTTTGCATGTCAAAATGCGCTAAGCAGTCCTGAAGACAATTGTCAATGTGGACATAACGGAATTGCTCGTGGTTGTAATAGCAGCAATATCAAGTTGGTAATAGTTGTGTTGGACTGGTGGTGCCAATGCTAGGTTTGTACGGAGATGGGTTTATTGAGGACAACAAATTGGATGATGAACTGGAGTGAGGTGGCAATTGCCTTAACATAGAAGTGGTTGCTTAAAAAATATTAAATTCTACAATTAACCTGTTTGTTTCGCCCATGTGGAAAGGAATTGCTTTTCCGCTGCACATGAACAAGATTTATAATATTTATTATACTGGTATAATTATTATTTATCTCATTATTATTATTATTATTTAGGGAGATAAGTGTCTATTTACTATATAGAATTACTTTTGCTTCAATATAATTTCGTTCTGTATACTAAACTGAAGATTATTGCATAAAAGTCACTAAGAATGGGTGTTATCATTGCAGGAAATGTGGGGGCTGATCATGCTGTGTTTGAGCAAGGTGCTTCCGCGGGAAATGTCGGTAATGAGAAATTATTGGAGCAGAAGACAGCAAACCCAGTAGCACTGCTTCTCTCATCAGCCATGATGCTCAGACATCTTCAGTTTCCTGCTTTTGCCGACCGATTGGAAACTGCTGTGAAACGAGTCATTCTTGAGGGCACACACCGGACTAAAGACCTCGGAGGGAAAAGCACCACCCAAGAGGTTGTTGATGCAGTGTTGAATGCTTTAGACTGATACAATATATTTCTGCTTATCTGCTGCACAAAGGAAGCCTTGTTCATTCCACACCAAGCTTTAATAGTGAAATTATCCACTCTTGGCCCTGAATAATGCCAATCCAATACAGAAAATGATGCAATTTTCTGAAACGATTTATTGAGGAGGTGATCATAAACGGCGTCACTCCTTTCATGACATTATTAATTTATGCTTCCAGCTCATTTTGTTCATGGCGTTTTCACAGAGTCGTGTTAATTTTGGAATGACTTGCCATGTAATAAACACAGATTAACTTGGTCAGTTAGAAAGCCCTCCGCTTATTGTTTACGGATCCTCTTTTAAATCATGAAATGGCACATTCACTTCTTAAAATCTGAATATAGACATCCAAGATGGATTAGGTTGTGGGTTAAAGGTTAACCACAATCATAAGAAGTTGAAATCAATTGTGAACAGGACTATATGTTTATATGTACACAAGCTAAAACGAAGTCGAACCATCACTTGTTCCATGCTCATCTGCAATTGGAAACCATAAAAAGCATTCACGTTTATAATTATATCGAAGACTCTTGTTGGGATGTTAATGTTAACCCACAAGAATGGAGAATCTGATGATTTGAATAAGCGGGAGTGGTTGAGGCAGAGGGAACGTGTGAGTAGGTTTTTCTTCGACGTTGGTTATGACCTGCCAGTCTTTCCCTGCAACTCCTTTTGCTGCCATCGAACTGTGCCACTTCATGAAACCTGCATCATCATCAGCATCAATATCAAGAAAAGAAAGCAAGGACGATGGATATCTATATATATAAATAAAAAAAACTAAAGATACATACTTGCTGCACTGTTGGCAGAATCTCTGACGAATGCCAAAAACTAGAACCACAGAAGCTTTGGAATGTCTGTCACAAACCCTGTGCCTCTGGTGATACTTCTTCGCCATTGTCAAGTCCACTCCACATTCGTCTGCTTGACAACGCAGCATTGACCCCTCACTCTCACCCCCCATCTCTGTCTTCGTCCTTGCCCCAAAAACCACCCTTATCACTATCTTCTTCTTCTTCTTCGTATCGCGATCTTCTTCTTCTTCGCTTTTGAATGATCTTTTGGCCATTAGGAACGTCACCAAGGCGCCAAACTGGAGAGAAAGCAAGGAAGGATTTTGAGAGAGGGGAGAGAGGAGTGAAATGGAAGCGACTGGGTGGATGCAAGACACACAAAGAGAGACGCAATTTGGGGCCTTGCAATTCCGTACGATGCGTCATGGTCCTTTCTGCACCGGTGACCGAGCTATGATTCCATGCTTCGCGACGCTGATTTGTTGTTATGTATACTTTAATTTTCTTAAAATTTCATAATTAGTTTTTTATTCGTGATTTTTACATTAAATTTCCGGGTTTTCTTTTTTGGACCAAAATTAAAGTTCTGAGTTTAGAGCAGTTAAATGTTATATTTTTCTAAAAGATTAAAAGTCAAAATGCATTGTTCAAATTATCATGCTTAAAAAATGCATTGTTTGTATAAAAATACATTGTAAAATATCCGTGGGCCTCGTAAAATGTATTATTTATGATAGACCGCAGATGACCTCATCGGTGAATATACACCGTTTGATTAGAAAGAAATCGCTCCGCAAGGATTTGAGATGTGCAAAATCGGGCCGTACGATCTTTATGATCGGCACGCGTACTCAAGCATCTCTGGCTCAGTGGCTCCAGCGACGTACCGTACGGTAGTGCACAGTAGTTTTCACATGCATTTCGGGCTCCAGCCTCTCTTTTATGCTATGTGTAGGCCCAAAAAAAAACAGTGCTTTTATTTTGTTAAAAAGGAAAAATCCAATTTTTATCCCTATACTCTGCCTCACTTGTCCATTTAATCTCTAAATTTTAACTCAAAACAATTTAATCTTTATAATTTTTTCGTTTAGAATAATTTAGTGCGTAACGATGAGAATGTATAATATACATTTGAAAAAAAAATATTTTTATTAAACATGTAGGAAGAGTTTTATTGAGGTTGTGGATAATGAAAACCTAGAGATGGAGACGAAGGATGAAGGGATAAAGCAAAGAGCCAAAATAGATAGAACTTGCGATCTTAATGCCACTTGAAACCAAAATCAACTCTGTATCATTGTAATGACTCATTACTTTTCCTTCCAAGTCCACAGAAACAAGTCCCCCACTTGCCTCCATAATCTCTGCCACTGCTTCATGCCTCAGATTTGACGGCTGCCATTCATATCACAAGTAAATTGTAAAACAATGCAGTTTAATCAATAGGCCTTCATCCTAATGAAAGGGATTGTGATCGCTTAAATATGAGTTTTTGGATTATTATAAAGAAGTGGAGGGTTAGATTCAGAATTACCATAGCCATGGCAACCCAATAACGTTGTGATTGTGCATCATAATGAATGTTATCGGGGAAACCAGGTAGATCTTCAATAAAATTTTCAATTCTCCCCTTCTTAGAGCCCTTTATATTATACTTTCTGCACCTCGTCCTGCACAGTCGCTCAGCCATCATTTTTAATTCAAACCACACACACATGTGGAAAATGGGCTTTAAGTTTGATTGGAAGTGCGTGTAAATAGATAGATAGAGATATATATATATATATATATATATCTCACCTTGGGGTTTCACAGAAGACCACAAATTGTTGATCTGGTGAGACTGCAACTCCATTGGCAAAGTGGAGATTGGAGGCCAAAAGTGTGGTGCGGTTGGTTGATGGATCATAGCTTATGAGTCTTCCATGAGGCTTCCCTTCCAGAAAGTCGAACATGAAATTATTTAAACTGTATCTGTAGGAAGCGTCTGTGAAATAAATGGTGCCATCTTCTGCAACATCCACTCCATCTGTTAATTTAAACTTTACTCCTTCAACCTCATCTGTCAGCAACTCAATCTTCCCTTCTCTTGTCACTCTCACCAAGCCCTGCATCATTCGCTTGAATTTTATATATCTATATATATATATATATATATATATATATATTGAAAGTTCATGCAGATACATGTGAAAAAGGTATCTACTCAACCATGAAACTAAATGTGAATGGAAGAAAATTACCTTGTATGCATCACCGACTAAGATATCACCATTGAGGCCCAGAGCAAGACCGAGAGGTCTTCCTCCAGTGTTGACCCAGTCATGGACCACCGAGTCGGCCGCCGAATCGTTCACCGTGACTCGCTTGATCCACCCATCGCTACACCCTGTATATATCACGCCTCCGCCACTTGAGTCATAAAGCAAGTCTTCAGGTCCCTCCACTTGTCCCAGTGCCATAACCTCCCATCGCCGGCATCGAACCGGAGCCACCGCCATAGAGAACATGATGGTAAATACCACAGCCAAATGCCTAGCTTGATTCGGCCAAGGTGACATTTGGCATTGATACGAATGAGCTCTACGGGTTAGTACGATATTTTACGGACGGAGTCCAACTTTTAAGATATTAGATACGGAGAGAGTTTAGAGAGAGTAGATAAATAGAAAAACTAAGTACAGCGAAGGAAATTCCATCCCCAGGAAATTAGATTCTCTATTTAGAGAAAAGAGGGTGCTCGATACAAACGAGTGAGATCGAGCTTAACTTTAACTTGCGTATAGCTTTATTGTTAGGTCTTAACTGTGAAGAGGATCCGTATTAGCCACCTGAAGCGTGAGTGTGCTTAGCACTCCTACATGTGCAGTTGTTACCGGGCAGTTAGGCCCCTTACATGGGCACCAACGTAAGACAATGATTTTGAATCAATCTTCTGAAATTTGGGGTGAAGCTACGAAGAAAGTGGCAATGTCTGTCTTCATGACGTATGAACCTCGGTGTCAAATACTGGTGGCAAAAAGAAATACATGTTTATAAAACACCAGAAAGAAAAAGAAATATATGTTTACAAATTCTGAAAAATTAACTATTGAAAGGAGAACCATCCTACTTAAATATCTCATATCTTAATTTCACTGTTTAAGATTATTGCACAGTTACATCCACTGATAAACTCTAGGAAAATTCTATCTTCATCTTGCAAGGCGATGCCTGATTACTCCTCGCTCCTCATCCAGAACAAAATTGGCTCTTGCAAAGTGAGTGCTACTAAAAAAGGGTCTAAGATCATAGATTTCATGCTCTTGTGCCTGCATAACGCAAACAAACACGAATACCAATCATTACTATCCAGTTTGAAAATAACCACATCTTATTGTCTGCTCCTTTATTGGACATGAATGTTACCTTGTTGGAGAGATCATCTACTCTGACTTCAATGTGCGTGAGGTTTGAAGTAGATCCAGTAACAATTCTTTCAAAATGCAATGCATTCTTTACAAGCTCACGAAGAAGGAACAGAAGCAACTCATTGTAGTCCTTCTTGAAAGTCATATACTTCCTAAAGCTCTGCAAAAGTCCACTTTCTAGATTAAGGCCAAGGGCTGAATATTGTCACCAAGTCCAATCCAAATTCCTATGGCCAGAAAAGAATAAAATCGTTTTTCCACAACTACTATGGCATGTTAGTCTGCATCAATCGTTGTGGATTTAACATCATGGATAATAATGCTAAAGACACCAAAACAGGCAGGGATGGAACATTATGCTGGAGAAAATCCAGAAGAGTTTAAAGTGCAAATGAGGTAAATCCCAAAAATAAAAAAAAAGGAAAGAAAATAACCTTCTGCAGGGCTTTTTGCACCCCAAATTTCTGGGTTGAGATGAATGAATCAAGTAGAACACGAATTGCCATGTCCACGTCCTCTTGCGTGATATGCTGCCTGAGATGCATTCTAGCATGGGCTTCGGACATCCTTATCATTGATTCTATGTGCCTTACAGCAATGGGAACTCCTTGTCCATGCTATATAAAGATAACGAGCACAGCATGTTAGCAAAGCTGATATGAATAGTAATCACTAGCAGTCAATTGGTAAGCAGAAATGAAGCATTACTGAAGATTCTCTCCGTAGTTCAGCATAAACATGTGTCAGTTTATCCATATCAGCATCATGTAACCTTGGGAACACGTTCATCTTGGCATATGTGAGGTACTTCTTCAGCAGGTCTTGAGGAAGTATCTGCAGACCGAATTTAAAAGTATAATAGATATGGAAGCCACAAACTAATTATCCAAAGTCAAACTACTGACAGTATTTGGTAATGACCTCTGCATCAGCAGACATCGAAGCCGCAAGAACTTCTTCATGCTCATGTAAGGAATCCATGTTAGCACCCTTAGGCTGTGACTTGAAGTGACTATCAACTACAAACTTTGCAAGCATTTCATCAGTGACCGGATCAACAACATCCTGAATAATCAAGAGTTCCCTCTGTTAATATAATAAAATAAAGTGTTTCATGGAGAAACAGTGAAAATGATCATAACCTTGACAACACAGAGGATATCAAAACGAGAAATGATAGGATCCGTCAGTTCAACATTTTGAGAAAATGTTTTTGAGGAGTCATATCTGCCAAATAAACAAAAACTTCAAGTTAAGAGTAGTTCATGAGAGAAATGGTTGGAAAATGCTACTATACTTTCTGAAATAATCCACTAGTCATCTCTTGTACCACATGTATTGCACAGTAGTCTACATTATGGCCATATGCACACTCATTTAGAAGATTTCCACTTCAAGTTAATATATTGCTCACCTTCCTCCAATAGGATTGGCAGCAGCAATGACAGAGCAACGTGCCTGAAGAGATGTGACAATGCCCGCTTTTGAGATGCTTATACTCTGCTGTTCCATAGCTTCATGGATACTCACCCTGGTATTGCATGAATATCCTTAAGCTTAAAAAAAACATGTGCTTACAATCTCCCTTCCTCTAGTGAAGTTGGGAGCTAGCAGCATCCATTGGAAATCACAAGATTACAAGAATAGTATATATATATTTGTTACCTATCCTGATCATTCATCTTGTCAAACTCATCAATAAGACAAATTCCTTTGTCAGCCAGAACAAGTGCCCCTCCTTCAAGGGTCCACTCCCTTGTGACTGGATCCCTGTGAACTGCTGCAGTAAGCCCTACAGCGGAAGCCCCTTTACCAGTAGTATAAACGGCTCTCTGTCCAGTCTTTTCAACATACCTGGAAAGTGATTGTTGTAAGAGGCAATGCCAGATCACCATTACTATTGCAGAGAAATCTTTAAAAGAGAATCGCTAAACTCTTACTTCAAAAATTGTGACTTTGCTGTTCCAGGATCACCAAGAAGAAGAACATTTATGTCTCCTCGTAGACGGTGCTTTCCTTCAACATTCTTTTCTAGACCTCCAAACATAGCTAAAGCTATTGCAGTTTTTATGTCTTCATGACCATAAATTGACGGAGCAATAGACTTGACAATCTGAAATCCAATTTACAGAATGTTTCAGATTAAATTCTTAATGCACCAAAATGACAACACATCATCTACTAGAGAACAAACCCTTTCTCCGATTCTGGGATCTTTGGCCAACTTCTCAATCTCATCTTTATCCTCCTGTGTGAGTTTGTAGGAAGAAAAGAGATCTTGCTTCTTTGAAATATAATTTGCCTCAACCACAGTGGCAAATACTGGGAAACCGTTCTTTGTGTTCAGAGACAAGTCAAAGTTGTTTGAATAAATACCTGTGACCTCCTGCAAGTTTTATAGTATAGAAAGCAAAATAAGGAAATCATTCAGTAACACACAATGCTAGCTAACTAGTCCAGGTAAAGGTTAATACAATCTCTTCTCCAGGTCTCGCACAATCAATCAGATCATTCAGTAGTATCACTTCTTTGTATCTTGGAAGTCGACCCGCAGGCACTGTTCCTGGACTTTCTTGGAGAGTAAGCTTCTGGTAGTTCCTATAAATTGTCTACAAAAAGTAAAACAAGATTTAATTAGCTTCTCAGAAACAAAGGTTGTTTATGAATTTTGTAAAAGAGAATTCGTAAGTTATATCATTTGGGAATCAAAAACAAGAAGATCAACACGCCCTATACAGCTGCCTAGCCAAGTTCAAGCAAGGATTAGTGACAAATCCCTTATATAGTTTCTGTCATCAAAATTTTCATTTGATATCCTTGTTTTAAACATAAAAGAAAAGAGAACTATGTAAGGATTTGGGAAGTAGTACCTGCTCAATATTGACAGTGAATGGTCCTTTTGATTGACACTCGGGGCAAGATCCAACTTTCACTTCTGAATAGGAATTCTGGAAAAACGGTCCCAGGATTGATCCACATTTGTTACAGTCATATTTTACTTGTTGCAACTGGGGGAAGACACCAGAACGCCTTGTTACAACCCCTCCAATCCGGATCATGGTGTTCAAGTGGATCTGCCTGCTCTCAATAAAAATTAAAGATTAGGCTTTATCCTTTATCAAATTCAGGTAAGGGGAGGATGGGGGAATAACACTTCAGCTTTGGTTGGAGTACCTTATATTTCGAATTTGATCGTAAACTGGCAAGTTGGTTATGCGAACATAGATTTTTTGATGTATGTTTCTGTAGTTGGGATGTAATTGAAACACAACCTTTTGGGCAACATCCTCCATTACTTCTAGAACAGATTGAGGCGCGTCAGCCAGCCAGATGGCAATGTTGGGATGAACATATATAAATTGCTTGTAATCAATCTCCAAACTGCACTTATTAGCTGCATGTTAAGGACACTTGGTTAATTTGATGGATACGACAAACTAATTCATACTTCATCAGAGATCAGCAAGCAAAATACAGGTGTTGGCGTTAACTGTGACAATTCAAACAATCTAAGTTTATGCATAATAGATATACCTGAGACCATCTCATTTATCAGCCGCACATATTCAAATTCGCCATGTTCATTCTTTGAATTAACATATTCAAGTAAGAAATCTTTGAATTTTTTGGCAATGAAGCGGCGCACTTCATCTCTGGTCACCCACTCTCTTAGTGTTCCTTGAACACGATACATCTCATATTCACTGTCGTCACCATATTCATCCTACAATCCAGGTATCCTTGTTAACTGTCAAACGAGTCTTAACAATTTATCCCCAGGATACAAAATGCAAAGAGTCAAAATATTTGTTACATCGTATCGATCATCCTCTGTTTGATCAGTCATTGGAATGTCCTCTCTTGAGTGCCCTTGGGACCTTCCAGGTGAACTTTGTGTCCCATCAATATTATCATTACCTCCACCACGCGGAGGCCTGAAATCAGCTCGAGCCCTTTTCGAAGGCCTATAGCTGTCATCATCAGTATCTGCAATACAAGCAAGAATAAATAAAAATTGACCATCAGGCCATGCTTCAATGCTTCATAATATTGATGCTCCACTCCTTGCTCAATTAGAGCCAATAAATAATGAGGTTCAGGCAAGGCTCTCCTATCACCAATTCACCATAATAATGTCACAATTCCAAGAAACCAGTATCATTCTCCACATTTAATTTGTAACCAGCAGCAGCTATTTGCAAATAAACGGCCTCAAGCTGATACAGTAATTTACATAGTAAAAATAGAGGTATGGGGTTTCGTTTAATCTATTCGAGTCGAAAATTCAAGATACAGATAGCACGATTGAGAGGGTTCAAGGAAATGTGCCCTGTATCGGCGTTTAGCATCAAAGGATTTATGATAAAAATAAGAAATGAAATGGCATTACCCTGGTCGAAAAGAAGCTGAGGAAGCTTGCTGCGAACGGGAAGGCGACCATCTCGGCCTTCGAGCTCCATCTCAGCAGCCCTTCGGTCCTCCATGATCTGATCAAAATCCCTATCATCCTCCAAGGAGTCATCTAATCCAATTGATTCGTACTGGTCATGTTCCTCCATCCTCCGATAGTCACTAAAATTCATTTAAATATCAAGTTAGAGAACATCAGTAAAAATTGGATAGGTTTACTAAGAAAATTGCAAACAGGACTTACTCCATGAAATTGTCATTGTAAAGATCCTCCCCATCTTCCTCTTCCTCGAGTTCTTCAGGTTCATCCCGTACAATCTCTGGATCAACGGAAGCCTCGGCGTCGTCCTCGGATGCACGGCTTGTGTAGGGAAGTTGATCGGTATTGAAGCCAACCGAAGGAGAGGTCGGCGACTCCGGTGATGACGGATCCCCTGGAGTTGACGCTTCTCCAGCCATATTTTTCTATGCTGATTCTTCCAATCCAGATAGAGTACTGTCTCTTCCTCCGTTAGGGCAAAACACAGATGATAAACCCCCAAGGAGCGGGCGGGGTCGCTCTGTGGCGGGAAAGTTTCGCGCCAAAATGGTGTGCTGTATAGCGTGGGTGCCACGCGCGTATGCACATTGCACAATCCCGCGCTCGGAGAGTTTTTTCTTTTTCTTTTTCTGGTAAATGCCCGAAAACTTTAATTATCTTTTTAAAATTATTACATTGTTTTTAAAATCAAAAGCAAGATAAAATCCAGAAAAGATAATCAAATAGCTATATCAAAAGAATAAATGAAAATATAAAATATCATCAGTAGACATTAAAAATAATAATGGTTAGAAACAAAATTTGTAAATAATATTTTTTTCAATGTTATTTTAATATGGTTTAGTTTGTTACAAATATTAATTGATTGATTGATGTTAAATTAAACTGACTATTTTACAAATTAAATTGTTGTGCTTGGCGGTTGGCACAATGACAAATCACTAAGGATTTATTCCTGTAATTTATTCTTCGACAAGGCAATTTCCTCTAAAAGGATGGCTTCGGCTTTGCCCAAAAAAAACGAAAGAAAACAAAGGGAAAGGGATGGCTTCTGAGCTAGGATGCTTTGCCAAACAAGTTGTCTTGAAATTGCTTGTCCAGAGCAAGATATTTAACACCCACCATTCACATCACGATAGTATATTATGGCAATTGATATAAAAATAAAGGATTCCATTAAAATTTTTGTAATGATACTTAAGTTACGTGCAAGTAGGAGGTAATTAGAATTTATTAACCCGGCTGCTCGTTAATTGGTTGACTAATTTCAAGGATCCAAATACTTATTTTAATTAGGCAATAATGATTGACTATTAATTAATTAATAAACTAAGTAAACGCTGTGATCATCATCTTAAAGACAGCTACTGAGGGAAAAACATATCGGCTCTTTTTTTTTTTTTTAAAATGGCTAAATCTAATGACGATTAAAAAAGTCTCTCAATCTCCATGTAGCAGAGCGACGGAGACGAAGAGATCATTTTCTTCGTCCTCTATTGTGTCTTTGCCGCAAAGATCGATTGGAATCTGTCTGTGATGTTGTGATTTTATGTATGCAGGGAGAAGAATTATAACGAGTATATCCAAAAAAAAGAGAGAGAGAGAGAATTATAATAAACTCCCAAATAAAAAATATAACTATTAAAAAATTCCAATAATAATAGAACAGCTTGTAATAAATGATAACTATTCACTTGTTATTAAAACTTATTAGTATTTTTTTTAGTTTCATTATAATTTTCCCTTTTATGTATGGATAGCAAAAAAGAAACACAAAATTCACTGTACAAGAAATGATCCGGCAGATAAAAACTATCATAGAGTTGCTTCAAGACCCACGGAGAGACTTTGATTACAAAGATACAAGAACATGTCCGAAAGTGGGAAATTACAATAACAAACCATGTTCAATAACACGTAACAAACTGCCCTGAACAACTCAATATAATATATTCTTCCGGCCCTAAATATAAAACTCTTTTTGTATTTAGGACCATAAGAGTGTTATTAGGTGCCCATTTAGATTAGCTGTAAAAAAGTGATATTGTGCTGTACGAGATAAATACATAATAGGATTTTATCTCATAAAGCATAAAAACACTTATTTTAAACCCATCCAAATAACTACTTACAAACCAAACAGGGAAAATCACACAACAAACCAAATTCACTTTTACATCACACATGTTGTTTGGTTGAGGGGAGGGCAGGAAACTTGTTCAGATCCAAACGTATGATGGAAGGATAGTGAAGGGAACCACAATACAAGTGATTCCCAATTCTAATGCCACTTGAAATGAGTGAAAAGGCAGCATCATAATAATGGGCGATTGGTTTTCCTTCCAAGTCCACAGCAATGACCCCTCCATTCTTCTCCATTTGTGGCCTTACTCTATACCTCAACATCATTGCCAACACCTTCCGAATGATTGGGTATCTCAGTGCTAATTCCCAAGAATACGTGGGCGACTGCCATTCACACACAACAAAATAATTATTCTCTACATAAAATTGAGTAGATGGCCAAGTGCAGTGTATCTATGCTTTTCCTTTTCCAATTTAGTTTCAAATGAGTTGCAAAGAAGGGATAAATTGCTGCAGAGATGCGCATTACTTACAGAACTCAACGCAATCCAATACAGGCCTTCTCCGTCATAGTGAATGTTATCAGGATAGCCAGGCAAATTCTCCGCAAATCTTTCTATGCTTCCTTTCTTGGGGCCTTTTATGTAATATTTTCTGCACCTCCTCCTGTAAATCCATCCCGTCATGTCATGACACGTCACCAAGATTCATCAACGATAATAGTTTGATAAATTTTCCATAAATTGAAACTAGAAAGTTGGAATGGGAAATGTACGAGTGATAGTAACTCACAATATGGTTTCGCAGAAGATCACAGATTGTTGATCTGGTGAGACCGCAACTCCATTGGCAAAGTAGAGATTGGGAAGCAAAAGTGTGGTGTGGTTGGTTGATGGATCATAGCTTACGAGTCTTCCATGAGGCTTCCCTTCCAATATGTCAAACATGAACTCACTGAAACCGTATTTGTAAGAAGCATCTGTGAAATAAATGGTGCCATCTTCTGCAACATCCACTCCATCTGTCAACTTGAACTTCAACCCCTCAACCTCATCCGTCAACAACTCAATCTTCCCTTCTCTTGTCACTTTCATTAGCCCCTAATTTACAGTGTCCTGTGTATTATTAGTATTTAATTTAAAATTTAATTTCTTAACATACAAGGGTTTTTTTAAGAGTCCGTTCCGCATCTAATAAGCTTAGGGCCCAAGCACTTTGCTAGTTTCCTTGTATTGATTTTGATTTAGTTTTAATTACATATAACTAAAGAAGAATTAGGCCTAATCAATTCAAATCATTTTAAATAAAAAAGCATCTTAAATAAGTACTTTTCAGCAATTATTTCAGAATAAAACTGGTAACGATCTTCGCATGCACATCTCAAAATCATAAATAAGGTATCCGACCTATCTAGCTGTCAAAATCGTGAAATCATCACATAATATTTAAATCTAATCCAAAAACATCGAACACGATCTAATCTAATCTAATCTAATCTGATTGTATTTAAAAAAAAAAAAAGTCAAACACCACTCGTTGTTTATAATTATAATATGATTTATTATACTAGTATAAATTCATATAAAGTTACTCAATTTTTTACCAGATATAAAGCTAGTCATGTTTCAATATTTCACATTCTTGCGCATAAAACGGCGGGGCCGATCCATGACCTCGATGCACTTAAACCTTTCATTTCAAAAAGATTTTAATTTTTTTTTGGTGAGCTTTTAAATATTGTTTAATCTAAACACAATAAATTGTTGGGGGAAAAAAAATAAATTATTACCTTGTCGGAGTCTGCCACAATAAGTTCACCGTTCCGGTGCAAAGCAACACCCAGCGGTCTTCCTTCAGTCCGCACCAAACTTTCCACTGCCGAGTCGCCCGCCGATTCCTTCACTGTAACTCGCTTGATCCACCCATCCACGCAGCCCGTATAAATGACACCTCTCGTCGCATCGTAAACGACGTCTTCAGGTCCTTCCACGTGTCCCTCCGCCATGGCCTCGGATCCTTCACTCATCCTGTCGTTGCGTGCCGGCGCCGTAATGATTCTCCAGCTCACCACGTCGGCGGGGAAGTGAGCCGGCTGGAATGGATCGAGCCGGAAGAGAATGGCGGCCAGGGCGATGGGGAGGATGAGGATGAAGAACAAGAGACACCATGAAGACGTCGACGTCGTATTTGCAGGTCTCTGATTCGATTGAGTCGGAGAAGAGGAGTGGAGATTCGTTGACTGGGGCATGTGTACAGGTAGTGAGAGCCCGGGAGGCAGGGCTGCGAGAAGTAAGGCGTATCGATAATAGTAACGGCTGAATCCACAGCTGTTGAATGCAGAAGACGACGCCGGATAATGTAAACTTAAAGTCTTGTGGGGCCCACATAATACTCCCCATCCAATGCTTGCAACTTTAGATTTTATTTCGATTTGACTTTTAGAATTTTCGATTTTACTGAAATAAAAATACATGAACAAGAAATTTATAGCTATTTTTTATTTTATAGGAGCAGAAGAATTATAGTCAGTTGAATTGTTTTAATATTACTAAATCACTTAATATTGATTTAATATTTTAAATATTATATTGAGTCCAAAAGCATTATTACTGTTTCTATTTAATATTAGAATCTACAAAAAAAATAATTTATTCAAAATGTATGTGACTTTATACTGGTAGTTTTTAAGAAATTATAAAATGTTTGTAGTTTGGACTAGTTTATGGCAAGTTAGTGTGTGAAGATAAGACCAAGCATAACCAGGCGTGCTGGAACGTGGAATGTTCCGCCGAAAATGCCAGAAAAGGCAAATGAAGCATTTTTTTATTTAAAACCAATGGCAATGACTAATCGGTCACGACAACGACAAGACACATAAAATGGAAAAATCCAGAAAGAAAAAATCTCGCCGCGTTCAGGCCAGAAGCCACATGTTCACCGAATGAGTTGATCCACTTGCGCTATTGCTTGGGTGAATCCAATTTATTGGTGGTTAATTGGGTTTCCCCATTGTCATGTCGAACTCATTCCAAAAACTCAAATACATTTTGATTACTCCTAAATATTAACTCTAATACTTCTCTAGTCCTTAATATAGGATTCAATTGTTGAATTGATTTTGGTCTTAAATATAAGACCTATTTATCATATTTATCAATTTTTTCTAAATTACCCCTCTAGAGACTCCCTCAATCATAATCAAGTAGTAGAAAAAGAGGAGATATTAAGAAAGATGATTATGGTATCTTAGGAAAAACACGTGACATTTCTTATAATTAATTAACTTACCTAACATCATTAATCTAATCAAATTAGTTAAATGGATCTTATATTAAGGACCGGAGGAGTACTTAATGTACGAATAAGTT